TCGCCAATGGCGTCGATGTCTACTTGTAACTACAGCGTCAAGGCGACCCCGAACGAGCATCACACAACTTTTTCACCTTGGCAGCTGGCAGCTGCCGGAGGCGCAATGACGGGCCGGCAATCGTAGTCTATGTGGGGCCCTTAACATGCGCGCGACCTGCAGCGGCACTCAGTGCGCCTTCCTTGTGCCTGTGCCTGGGCGCGTGCCTGCGCGACGACCGTCACTCACTGTGGTGAGTCGCTCTTACCCTGCTGGTTCAGCGCAGTTCAGGCAGTAGTCAACCCTGACTCAGTTAACTCGCGACACCACTTTCAGTATCGCCGTGACACGATAACGGTTCCGTTTTTGCTGCGCTACCTCGGACGAGCGTTTTGGTCTTCTGCACACCTCGTTTCTTTTCACGCTCGACGACACTCCTTCTGTATCCAGTTTGCAATTGTGCCTTTGCCAGACCTTCATCAACACTTCTTTTTACGCCATTGCCCCGACTTGCAGCACTCATTACGCTGGTCGTCGCATTCTGGACCTTTCATCTTTTTTCGCCTTTAAATTCTTTTCCATTTTTGACCACTTTAAAGCATTCTGTCGCCACTTCGCGTTCACTTGGTGCTGCCTCTCTTGTCCTGTCTACCAACGGTTCTTCCTCGCATCGAAGCATCGTTGACACCCCACAGTTAGCCATGGCGACGGCAGTAGACGCTCCAGCGAACGCGCCTGCATCACCGGCAAAACCAACACAAGTTCAGATGACACCCAATGCGCTCCGGGATGCACACAATATGGAAACCCTCGGCCGTGGCCTGAATGCCTTGGTCAAGCAGGTAAGTGGTTGCGGGTCAGCTTGTGGGCGACGGCCGTTTAGCTGACAGATTTTCTTGCGCTCTCTAGTCTCGCGTTCTCCTCGTGGGCGCCGGCGGCATCGGCTGCGAGCTTCTCAAGACCCTTGTGCAGTGCGGCTTCCGGGAAGTTCACATCGTCGACCTCGACACCATCGACCTCAGCAACCTCAACCGACAGTTCCTCTTCCGTCACGAGCATATCAAAAAGCCCAAGGCCCTGGTCGCCCGCGACGCCGCCCAGCGTTTCAACCCGCTGGTCAACCTCGTGGCCCATCATGCCGACATTAAGACGTTCGACGTCGCCTTCTTTGCCAGCTTCACCGTCGTTTTCAACGCGCTCGACAACCTCGATGCCCGCCGCCGCGTCAACCGCATGTGCCTGGCGGCGGGGGTGCCTCTGATCGAGAGCGGTACCGCGGGCTTCTTGGGCCAGGTGCAGGTCATCAAGCGTGGTGTCACTGCGTGCTACGACTGTAGCCCCAAAGAGGTGCCTAAGTCGTTCCCCGTGTGCACCATCCGCAGCACACCCAGCCAGATCATCCACTGCATCGTATGGGGCAAGAGCTACTTGCTCAACGAGATGTTTGGCGATAGCGAGGACGAGTCGGCCTTTGACCATTCGGACGACGCACAGAATGCCGACGAGATTGCCGAGCTCAAGAAGGAGTCCCAGGCCCTCAAGGCCATCCGCCAGGCCATTGGCACGCCCGGCTTCGCCGAGATGCTCTTTGACAAGGTCTTCAAGACCGACCTGTTGCGGCTACGGTCCATGGAGGACATGTGGAAAACGCGTTCGCCGCCCGAGCCACTGGCATATGCGGAGGTCATGGCACGCGATGCCACGACGACGGCAATGTCCAACAAGACGGAGCTGCTGCGCGACGGACAAAAGGTCTGGACGCTCGAGGAGAGCGTCGTGGTCCTCAACGACAGCATCGAGCGGCTTTGCCACCGCGTTGTCGCGGCCAGAGCAATGGGCGAGGGAACTGAGGGCGCTATGATCGAGTTTGACAAGGACGATATTGACACGCTCGACTTTGTGGTGGCGAGTGCTAACATCCGCGCGACGTTGTTTGGCATCGAGCGCAAGTCGCGCTTCGACATCAAGCAGATGGCCGGCAACATCATACCGGCCATTGCCACCACGAATGCGATCGTGGCTGGCCTCTGTGTTCTGCAGTCTTTCAAGGTGCTCCGCGGACAATACGACTCTGTCAAAGAGGTATGTGCTTTCGTCTTGTGTTCATCCTTTGCTAATGTATCATCGTGCACGAGCCTGCTTACTGACGCCCAATTCGTAGGTCTTCCTTGCTCCAAATGCCACCGACCACATGCTTGCTTCGGACCGGCCGCGGAGGCCAAACCCTGAATGTCCCGTTTGCAGCGCGTTCCAGGTAACACTCGACGTTGACTTTGACAAGATCACACTCCGGGACCTGGTGGATGACTTCGCCAAGGAGCAGCTCAAATTCGACGCAGACGGCGAGTTTGTCATCAGCAACGAGGTCGGCATTCTGTACGATGTCGACGAAACGGACAACCTCGACAAGAAGCTGTCGGAACTGAGTATTAGTCATGGCACCTTCCTCACTGTCATAGATGATTCCGACGAGCCTTTTCTCAATGTTGTTATTAACCTCCAAAAAGCGTACGTCCAAACAAAACAGATTGGTATTGTATTCCAGTAAGATATTGGATGGGCCATAATCTGTATGCTAACTCAAAGTACATCATATAGTAAGGAGTCTCTTGGTGACAAGCCATATGCTGTTGTCAGCATCAGCGACCGGAATTCTGATGGCTCCGCCAAAATCGCCAAACAGCCCAAAAAGGCTCCAAAGCCAGCTCCTCAAACGAACGGCGTCTCCAACTCGAAGCAGCCGCTCACTGTGGATGATGACGACGATCTTATCATTCCCGAAGACACCCAGCCAGCGAACAACAAGCGTTCCCGGGAAATCGTTGGTGACGAGCCCGTGGCCAAAAAATCCAAGGTTGCACCGGCACGAGCACCAGCAGTGCTGTCCGTTGCTAATGGCAATTCCAGCCAAACTGGCGAAGCCGTTATGATCGACGATTGATTAATCTCACTGCGCGGCTGTGCGCCACAATGTGCAGCAAGGACATGCTGTATATTTACAACGCTATACTTCCCGCCATATCAAATCATCTCATGTCTTGGCTGCCGCGAAGCGACAGACGGTCAACTTCAAATGGCGGCTTCACGTTCACTCCACCTCATCTTTCTTGATTTGAGAGCCGGGGCCCTACCCCCAGTCACGACATAGCGCTCAGGCCTCCGTCGAGGTTAAGCACACAGTTGTTCGCATATCTGTTATTGACCAAGAACAAGGCCGCATCCGCGACCTCGCTAGGCCGTCCAAACCGCCCTGCCGGGATACGACCCTTGAGTATTGATCGATGAGGCTCTGACACAGCTGGGAGTAAGAGAAAGCAATGGATGTGACAACAGCCACACCCATGCAGTGTACTGTTAGCCGAGCTTTTTTTATTGTAATGTCGAGCATGCATATACAACAGTACGCGTCAGTTTGGTGGCAATTTGTGTTGATAGTGCTTTCTTCTTCTGTTTTCAGTTTCACGGCTGTCGGGCAGCCGTAACCTAAGGACGACCGGGAACAAAGGGCTGAGGCGTTTATATGTGACCAGTGTCCTTCGGCGCTGGAGGCTCATAGGACAGAAATCAAACAAAATTAATTCAAACAAGAGCAGGTCTGACTCACATTCTGTCATTTCGGTCTCGATGTAGCCCGGAACGATGACATTGGCACGAATGCCCCGCGACTTGCCCTCGTCCACAAGGGCACGTGTGAGGCCAATGATACTCGCCTTTGATGCAGCATAGGGCGCAGCGCCCATGCCACCCCGGAAAGCGAGCAAGCTGCTGATGTTGAGAATCACCCGGTCACTACCCCGGTTTCCCAGCCACCCGATCATCGCCTCCCGGCAGCCCAAAATGGTACCATACGTATTGGTGTCCAGCACGCGGCGGATATCCTCGGGCGAGCTGCGCGACATTAATGCGTTATGTGTCACGCCAGCGGCGTTGACAAGAATACTGACGTCTTTCTAAGGGCAACAGTGTCAGAGCATGTTGTAACTATTTGAAAGGCTACGAGGCCCGGAGATGGAAGACAAACGTTTGCGAATAATTTGGGCCACATCTCTTCGTCTTGCACATCGCCCACGACATAAGAATGCACACTGGAACTTGAGTTGCTCTCCGTGGATGGCGAGACAGTGTTCTTGGGAGGTGGCATAGCATACTTTCCTTGCTCTCGCCAGTAGTCAAGGTTCTTGACGACATTTTTCAAGGCCATTTCATCGCGCCCGATAATGGTGCAGCGCACGCCTTCTTGGGCCAGCCGCTCAGCAATGGCCTCACCAATACCGCGGCTGCCACCTGTGACAATGGCCTTTTTGTTCTCCAGCCAAAGCGTCCTCGGCGATACCAAAGATTCAAAGGCACTGGAGCTGCTTCCGTCGCCGATTGCGTTCTTCTTTTTGCCGTTGCCCTTGAATAGGATGCTGTTGTCGTCGCTGATGCGGCGGCTCTGCACAAATTGGCTTTTAACTGTACGTATCCTCAAAGGCGCTGCTGCGAGTCGCGGTCGTATGGCCAATGCCGTCCTCATTTTTTATTGTTTTGGTGTGTGTAATCTGGGTATCGGAATGCGTCACTTGCTCAAGCGACGTTGATGTCATTTGTTTCCATTACGTCGTTTCTTTTCTTTCACGGGGAATAGTCATGCGCTAGCCGAGGCGGAAAGAGCAAAATTAGAGCTGTTGCCTGTCGAGCTTCGCATTGGCTGGCCGCACCTGCCTCAAACCGCTAAAGGGCCAAAGGCGGGCTGGCAAAGTGCGCTAAATTCCCCCCTTTTTACTCCTTGGTGGGCACACTTTCCCTTTCTCCTCAGCTTGCCCAGGGGTTCTAAAGACAACCGGCCAATGGGAGAGCACTAAGAACCAAATCTTCTTTAAAGATCTAGGAGGGAGGACTGGCCGTAACCACCAAAAAATTCATTGCATTTCGCGGGATGAATGTGTGAATCGGCGGCTCGCATTTTCTTTCGTGGACATACACCTTATATCTTATTATCTAGATACACTGTTGATTGCGGCCTTCGTCCTCAAATCAAGTTACCGGCCGATCGCTCCTTCTTCCTCTTTCTGATATCTTTCCATTGTGCATGCTAGCAAGAGCCTCGCCCTTCGACCCTTCCGCTTTCGAACGATCCCGGTCTTGACGTCCTTCGTTCTGAACCTCGGTCGACCCTTCTCCAGCCATTCATTCAATGCGGCTTGTATGAACGCCTCGCAAAAGACCTTATCGATGGCTTGACTGGCTGTCTTCTTTCTCGGAGATCACGCACATTATTTCTCGAGTCGAGTCTACCAATACCCCTCTCCCCTCCCGCACGATACTCTCCTGGGCGGTCTCGCGTCTCTTTTATCTTTGCGATTGCCACATTATCACCCCTGGTGCCCCCATCGACGTCGACGATAAAGTGCGGCGAATTGTTCTTCGAATATCTTCCATCGATTCTGCTTCCACGTTCTCTGTCGATCATTCGGTTCACGTCGACGGCTCGTGTATCTAAACCCATTCTCGGCACACGTTTACCTATCCCGCCTAACAGCCGCCACGACAAATGAGCGGCGCAACGTCAATACGCAACGGTGCAGGCCGCAGCGACACGGGGCCTGATGTTCTGACGGTCAAGATTTCCGAGGAACATGGACACGGACATGAGCAAGGCCATGGCGATGGCGACGTGGTGGACGCCGGGTTGAAGAGTTTAGACCACTGTAAGTGGTGGTGGCTCATGTAGAAACTGGAGGCGGACAGTAAGAGAGAACTGACATGGTCACTAGATAAGCGCGCCCTGCCAAAATGGCGATATCGCCTGCGTCAGCGGTTGCTACCCCTCGTGCGCTGGGAGACGCCGTACCTTGCGTACTTCCAGAACGCGCTGCGGTCGCCGGCGCTGGACAGTTATTTTGCCATAACTGCCAATCTTGGTACTCACACTTTCTTCATGATCGGACTGCCCATGTTATTCTGGTTTGACTACGCCAAGTTTGGAAAAGGGTATGTTGAGGATCGCGGGACGAAACGGCAAGACGAACGCTCCAGCTAACAATCTCTCAGCCTCGTCCACATTCTTGCCTCGGGCGTCTTCTTCAGCGGCTTTATCAAAGATATGTGCTCGCTTCCCCGGCCGCTTTCGCCTCCACTTCACCGCATCACCATGTCCGACTCGGTTGCCCTCGAATACGGCTTCCCGTCAACGCACTCGACAAATGCCGTCTCCGTTGCCGTTTACGCCGTTCTTATGCTCAGCGAGTCCGACCTTGCCCCGTCCACCAAGCTCTTCCTCGAGAGCCTCAGCTACTTTTATGCCTTCTCTATCATTGTCGGCCGCCTATACTGTGGCATGCACGGTTTCTTCGACGTTATCATCGGCAGCGTGCTCGGCGCCGTCATCAGCTGGATCGAATTCTACTGGGTACCCGCGCTCGACGCATACATGCTGCAGAGTTCCTGGTGGGCACCCATCATCGCCGCCCTCATCATCATCGTACTCGTCCGTATCCACCCGGAGCCAGCCGACGACTGCCCGTGCTTTGACGACTCAGTTGCCTTTGCTGGTGTTATGATCGGCCTTGAAATTGGCACGTGGCATATCGGCCGCTTGCGGGACACCTTCTCTCTGCTCCCGGGCGGTATTGCCTCTCCGAGCTGGCCTATCGCACTGGCCCGTGTTGTGTTTGGCGTGCTGGTTGTGTTTGCATGGCGCGAGGTCATGAAGCCCACACTGCTTAAAGTCCTGCCGTTTTTGTTCCGTGTCATTGAAACGCATGGTCTCAACCTGCCCCGCCGTTTCTTCGTGCAAGCCAGCGAGTATGGCAAGATTCCCGAGGTGCTGCTTCTGCGCACCGACAACGTCATTCCCAGCGTCAGCGACATCCCTATCATGGTACGCAATATCCGCAATGCGCGGCGCGGACGGTCGATCAGCATCGGCCCGCAGAGTGCTGCCGATGCATATGAGACGCTTGCCTATCGTGAACGACGCCGGCGGGAGAGCATCGGTAGTCAGGGAAGCGCGGGTGTGCGCAGCAAAAGCAGCATGTACGACCTACGCGGCGAGCAGGGAGACGGGGCAGCAGCGTCCGCGGTGTCGGTCGGCAACGGTGAAGCGGTGCCGCTCGCGAGAAGCGGTGGGACGGGTACGAGCAGCGCTATCAGTGCCGGCGGCACAGCCAACGACCGCGAAAGCAAGGGACGGTCGGCGTCGGTTGCGCGGAAAAACTCGCTGGCACAGTTTGAAGAGATGATGGGCCAGGGCACAGTGGTCGAGGTGCCGCAATCACAACAGACGACAGCATTCCCGCGGCTAAACACCGAAGATGACGCGGCGGTCGACGAGCCAGACCTGTTTGTGGGCCGGCAAGACGAGCTTGGCGAGCGGGAGATGTTTGAGAAGTTGGTGAAGCCGCGTGTGCGGTACGATGTGGAGGTGGTCACAAAACTGATTGTGTATGCTGGTAAGTGGATCTACCTACAGCGCCCCGGCAATGTTCTTATGGGATCTTCTAGCTAACACTTGTACCAGGTATTGGATGGTTGGCAGTCGAGATCATTCCTGTCGTGATTGAGCTCATCGGGCTAGGATCATGAATATGAAGCTCGCCAACCATTTGGACAACGGGTGTATATATGTTGATTCTAAGACGGCCCCTTTTACGCCTGAATTTTTTTGTTTCTTCTCTGCTTATGTTTTGCGGATCCTTTTATTTTAACCTATAAACTTTTTTTGTTTCTCTTTTCTTTGTATATCTCCTATTATTCAAGGTCGATTCTAAAGACTGCACACATTTGAAGATTGTGCACATGATGATATAGCTACATATTCCCATTGCTCCATGGCTTTGCCCTGACTTCTACGTGATTGTCACGCCTGTTTCTCAGCGCCGAGATTTTGATCTCTTTAAGTTTCGCCTAGAGTATAGACAGAAGACTCCAAATTTCACGAGCCAAAAGTTCACGGGCTTCACATTCAGCTGGCGTATTGCATATGTTGGGTTGTAGCAGCCGGCCTTGACACTCTAATCCGCGTTCACTTCTAGGGCGACTATGACGAACCTTGTACAATGAGGGAGAATGCGAGGTAAATACAACAGAAGAAAGATGTACCTTGCAAGTAATACGTCGTCCATATTCGTTACGTCTGGATGCGGTTCTCAGAGTATTGGCCGGATTCATCCAGTCAAGATTAGTCATCTCTTCTCGGACTCCGAGGATATGTCTTGTGTAAGTGTGTACGAGGAGGAAGTCACGGTTGTGGAGCGCAAAATTATGTACTCGCTTCTTTTGGTTTCACGGCTTGTTCTATCTCTATTTTTTGTTTCTCTCAAATTGAACGTCGCGGTGCGTCGTGAACTCTCGGACTCTGCCTCCACGGCGTACATTACTATTTAGACTCTCTATCTTTGTTTGGCGTAATTGCGACGCTGCTCGAGCCCTTTAGAGAACGGTCTGGGTCCTCGTGCTGCCTCAAGTGTTGTCGATTTTGAAAGGTCTAGTTAGGTACGCTGTGTCTGCACTGTCGATAGAGTCAATTGGGCAAGATCGGGAGAGTCAAGTTCAAGACAGGCAGAAAGGTGTCTCCATTTACCCCACACGTGTTGCTATGTCTTTAGAGGCCATTTGATTTTCGAAAGTTCGAGGCAATGCGGGCCGGCGGCAAGCTTTGCTTCACAGCGTATATTTAAAGCATGCAAATACGTAGTATGTTGTGCTGGCTGTCTGTAACTTCCAGCAAAGCGGTGGTAACATTTGTACCTTCGTAGGCGCAGACCAGACGATATTCTGAAAAAGGAAATTCCGGCGGGATGATTACTTCTCAAAATCTCGGGGTCGGTGTGGGACTGGACACATGGCGGAGAGCATAAAACCCTGTAGGGCTTGGGCTGAGTTGCGGTCCGCCCAGTTCCTTAAAATAGCAACCGTTGGTGAGCGATCCAAGAGACTGGATGGTGTGGCCGGCGTACTAAGCTGCAGGAGGCAGAACCAGCTGGGTTGGGGCAAGAACTGCAAGACCATGTTTTGGATCCACGCTGCGTCGGTCCCAGAGAGTCTGAGCTGTTTGCCATTCTCCGCATCTACTTCGTAAGGGACATTCTGCTTCTCTGCGTCTGGCTCGTGTTATGCGGGAATGGCAACCCTTGTCCGTCTGTCAAAAGGATGACAAGTATCTTAGGACTTTGCTGGGGTGCCAAAGCACACAACAGAAGCCACTCAATCCGGGTTGATGCGAGGAAACTGCATCGTAGACGCACGCTCGCGTCGTGGATTTGGAGTTTCTCGTGTGAATGCAACAATAGAGAAGGACGATAAAAGGGCCTCGCAATCGACAATTCGAGGATAGGACGGAGCAAGGCTATTCCCTAAAACGAAGGAAAGAGTGACCGAGAGCGTGGGAGAAAATGCTGTTTGGTAACGGCAACCTGCGCCTTCCTCTCCACTCAATCTGGTTCCTTCCCTCTTGTCGACTCGGGTGCCCTATTTACCTACGGCTCCTTTCTGTCCTTTTCCCAAAGATATTTCTCGTCAAGACAACATGTCTTGATTCCATCGCTTCTCCTGCACAATCCGGACAAACATCGGAGAGCACTCTCTGGTCTACGACACGAAAATCGCTTCGCAGTCGAGTGTCTGAGAATCCTTCATCCTGCAATCCCGGCAGAGGAGACCGGGGCGCACGGGTGGAGACAGAGTCAAGTACTCCGACACGTCCGAGTATCTCCCAACAGGCGCCGGTGCGTCTCGGTCGGCTATCGTGTGGCTGGGGGAGAAGGCTCCTTGTTGCTTTTTTCCTTTTTTCTATGGACCCCTTTCGCATAACTTGGCTGCTATTTTCTTACTTGCGCCAAACCTTGGATTTTAGCCTTTGGTCAACGCTTTTCTCGAGTCGTTTACGGGGCGCGTCGATCATCCTGTTTTATGCTTTTGGCACTCTGTACTTGTGGCAACCCAGTTGCACACTTTGCCACAGCTCTCAGTCGTCGTCCTCGGAGCTTGTCTTTCATTTTATCACAACGCATCGAGGCATGTCCAAAATCTGTCAACTAACACAGTGCAGGGTCACAAACCATGCTTGACGTGGAAACCTCAGCGAGAAGTTATGGACAGGGTACGAAGTACATGTACGATTAACACACCCGGTAATTACGCCCCATCCGCAAGTCTGTTGATCCCTGGGATGCGAATCCTTCCGCAAGCAGGACCAACCACTTCGAGGCCAGGACACGACCGACTGAACAAGCACGGCAGGCAAACCCTGTTTTCGACTCGTCCACTCGCGATATGATCTCCCCCGTATTTACTTGTTGTGGGTGGCCCCAACCCCTTGACACAACAATTCAATGCTGCAAGCACACCAATGAGGAGGCCTGGCCCTGGTCTTGGCCTGCCAGGTCTTGCCGTCCTCCCGTGCGTTGAAAGACAAAAAAAACCTACAGGGGCCGAGGAGAAACGAAAGAAGAGACACACTGGCGTGACAACTGTCCTGTCTGGCGTCCGCCTCAGGATTGTGTCTGCGCCTCCTTGTGATGCTGTGTTAACTGACTCTTCCGTCCTTTCCTCTGGTCTCCCCTCTGCACGGCCACAGACGACCCAATAACCTAAACTCTCAAACAAGCGAGCAAAAAGAGCAGCGGTACGAAATACTATTACTCCGTACCTCTTGGTACGAACCACACCAAAGCAGAAAGAAGGCAAAACATCGCAATTCTAAGAGGCCCGCAGCAACAATTTCCAAGCAGCAAGCCCAGTGTAGACCCGATACTCACAAGTGTTGCACCGCGAGGGCTATGCCCACCGGTCCCTCTTTTCACTTCTGTCAGCCTCTGCCTCTTGTCATATCCAGAATCCAGTAGACGCACTCTCGCTTCAGTCTTCTTCATCCACTTTCCTGGTCTGTCTCTTAACTGAGATACTTTCTGGCTACGTCCTTCCTTGGTCTTGGTACTGTTCCCTACCCTTTTCAGTATTGTACGGCGTAGTACCCTTTGGATTCTGGACGTGTTTCATCGCGACTCCGTTTATTTTATTATTTTATTTTTATTTTATTAAATTTGTTCCATTCCAAATTTTCTGCTCTCCTCACTCTCGGTTGTTCTTCCTTGGTATCATCTACCTCCACTCAACCTCCACACCTTGACACTACCGGCTGGCCTTCGATGACGCGAGCTTGACGATCGTCACTCGTCCTTCTTTTCTCACTCCTTGCTCCTCAATCTTCTGCTATCTCCATACCTCCTCACGAAACCATCAATACCAACATCATGTCCGACTACTTCGACGACTACTTCTTCACCTCCAATGTCTCCGACCATACTTGCCCGGGCTTCGGCAGCTTCGTCTGTAAGCCCCCGAACGCGTGTGCTCGCGACCCCAACACTGGCCGCCGCTTCTGCTGCGACGTCAAGGACGTCTGCTGGACCATAACTGAGACCTGCGCAAACGACGGCAGCACCCTCGACTGTGGCACCGGCACCACCACCTGGTGCTGCGTCAACGGTCGTGAAAGGTGTACCGCCGCCAAGAACCAAATCAACATCTGCTGGTCCACTGCCCACGACATTCTCAATAACATCACCAATAAGGACCTGAACAACACCTACTCGTCTCTAAGCTCCGCTCATCCCTCGGCCACCACATGGGCTTTCAGCCCGGACGAGCTCATCGCCAAGACTGCGCCGCCCACCTCGCCGGCATCATCATCCGCCGCTGACAGCAGTGCGACATCCGGCGCCTCTTCGCCAGCGGGCCCCACCGGCAGCAGTGGCGCCGGCTCGTCTGGGATTGGCGGTGGCGCCATTGCCGGTATTGTGGTGGGCTCAATTGCGGGCGTGGCGCTGATTGTGGCCGGTCTCTTCTTCCTGTGGCGCCGCGCGCAGAACCAGAAAGATGGCATGGCCGCCGCCGGCTACCCAGACGGCACGGCGTCTGGTGCTGCCGCAGCAACCAGCGCAAATGGTCTCGACGACAAGCCACGCTACGCCGGCGCACCCAACTTCGGTGCACACGGTTACACCAATACCAACAGCTACTACACCGGCTCGCCCTCACCTCACCCGCCACCGTCGTCTGTCCCCACGTCCGAACTACATGGCGACAATCTAATTCCCCAGGAACTACCGGCAAACCAGGCCTTTGGTGCCAATCCCAGCGAGCTATCGGCAACGTCTCCCACGGTGGGAACACACTACAGTACCGTGAACAACAGCGCCGGCAGCCCCGCAATACCTCCTGCCGCACCGGCGGCTGGGTCAGTCGACGTGCCGCCCGAGCAAGCCTACCAATGGTCGCATCAGGCCAGCGGCACAGCGCCAGCAGTGCCATCACAACAAGAGCGACACTAAATAACATGGGGACAAGTAATGTTCGGAAGATGGTAGAGGGATGGCGATACCCGATGAGGAGGCTGTGTAACTGAGGATGTAGGCAGCATTTTTTTGGTTTCATCCTTTACTTATTTTTCGATAGTTTTTATTTCCTTTTTTTTCCACATTCTTTCCAAGATACTCACATCATTAGCTTACTTCTATTATTTGGGGCGTTTTCTTATTTATATATACGTATATACTAGTTTCCAACTTATCGACATGATACTTTCAACATGTTCAAACCTCGGTAAAAAAGACACTGTAGAACAACGTGAAGTAAACAATGAGTAACAACGAGTAACAAAGACACACAAGTCATTTCACAAAATGCAACCCTCAGTACGAGGTGGCAGTCAGCTGGAAGGTGAGCTGCCCCGGCGGGCTGGGGTCCTGCGTGGCTACCATGATGGTGAGGCTCTTGCCATTCGTGGAGGTCCACGTAACCGTGTACAGGTTGTAATTGCAGTTGGCCAGTGATGCCGTGCTGCCGCTGTGGCTCAGCGTACACGACACGATCTGGGCACCGGCCGCCGGCGACAGGGTGGGCACAACATAGCCGCCGTCGACCACGGTCAGGACCAGCTGCGTGTTGACCTGGCCGGTGGACGGATAGCTGCGGACAATGACTGCCAGGTCGCCAGCGGCGGTAATCACAAACAGGTTACCGTTGGCGACGCCGTTGACGAAGCCCAGAGCGTAGCTGTACGGGAAGCTGCTGAGTGCCGACGTACCGCCGGGAGTAATCCAGTCGACGTAGGCGCCGACCACGTTTGGCGCAGAGCCCGACGAGAAGGACTGGCTGGCGACTTTCATGAGGTAGGGCGTGGGCGAGGCGGTTGCCTTGGTGGTGGTGGTTGTCGTTGTGCCGATCGTCGAGGTCAAGATCGCCTTGGTCGTCTGCACGTCGGTCTTGGTGTACGTGGTCGACGTCGACGTACTGATGACCGTGGTCGATGTGCGGATGGCCGTTGTCGTGCTGTGGAGAGACGGCAGTGTCGTGGTCGTCGTCTTGGTGAGTGTCGTACTGACGTACACGGAGACATCAGCCGATGCTGTCGACAGCTTCGTCGAGCTTAGGACCTCACTGTCATTGGGCGGGACGATGGTGGTAATCGACGGCGTGGCACCGAGCGAGATGCAGTTGCGGGAGTAGCGGTTCACATAGAGGCACACTCCTGCATACTCGGGTGTCTCCGACGGCACGATGGTCTGCGGCTGGGGGTCCTCCTCCAAAGCAACAAAGGCTGGGGCCACAAATCGTTTGTGACCACCGCCGCCGCCACCACCATTTCTGGTCGTCGTCATTGTCGTTGTGGTCGAGGTCGTGGTGGAGAGCGCCGTGGTGGTCGTCTTTGTGAACTTGGTCGTGGTCGTGGTTGTGATCTGCTTGGTCGTCGTGTGCGTGACGCTGTTGATCAAATCGACGGACGTGTAGGTCGACCAGATGGCGACGCTGGGCTGGAACGACTCTGTCCTGCTGCTTATCTCAGTCTCTGAGATCGTGTGCGTGTGCGTTTTCGTTACGACAGAGGACGGTGTGACGTAGTCGGTCCTAAATACTGTATTAGAACTGTCCTCACGAAACGTAGCTCTCGGCATGCACAGAGTCCCTTAAATTCTTCCAAAGAAGATAGACATACTGAGTAGGTAGAATGACTGTTGTCAAGAGGAACGAGCTACACTCCTCGATACCGTTGGGCTGCAGCTCGATGGCTGGTGAGACAAGAGTCAGTCATATATAGTCGTTCATACGATACAGGTTGCGAATCTTGGATTCCTCTTCATTTCACGAACATGACTACTTACCCTGCTTGCAGAGGTTCGGGCGACATACCGATGCCGAGACGAACCGCTGGGCGAACCCAGCAACGACCAGGAGAGAGGCGAGGCTGCGCATGATTTTGGAACGGAGAGATGACTGGGGACACACCGAAAATAGACCAAAGGTTGGAGTAAAGCAGTGTGAATAAAATACACCATATAAGAAAAACTAAACGAGCCTGTCAGTACAAACGGGGTGTAGGTCCTCGTTTTACTCTGTGAGGTCGTGTGTGAGTTCAACAGAGGCCACGGGCAACAAGATGCTTGCCGCAGATGCCCTCCTTCGTGCTAAAGAGGAAAAACGAAGAAATCCGGAGAACATGCGGAGCAACCCACCGGACAGGCACTTGGCCACCGGTCATGGCATCTTATATTTGGACGACCATATCCACAATAGCATCACGAAGTGCCTTGACGGCCACGTCCCCGCGGTTCGTCGCCATCCCTGCTCGTGCTCGAAAATAACGTGGTTCGCGTGGGCAAATATTGGTGTGGATTGGACCTGTCCGCCTCTTGTCAAGACCGGCCACATCGAATTCGGAGGATGCTTCCGGCAAGCCTGAACATCACTCCGTCCAGTGGAGTATGTTTGCGCTTGCCATCGAGTGGAGATGCGGTCCATGTGAGAGTGAAATGGGCTCACAAACCATTTTCGCAGGCAATCGGCTGGCATCGAATACTATTTAGAAGTATTGGAAGGTCTGGCCCCATTCCAGAAGAATTGCCTAGTTTTCAATAGGACGAATTGCAATTTCCATACACATCATACCAAAAACAGTCATAACTTATTGGCTGAGACATCTTCTGGTTGGTTAGCATTACCTACAACTGCCGCATGTAGTCTGGCATGGCGGGACCACTCTGCTGATGAACAAAAGAGACCTCGACAGGGAAAGCTGGGTAAAAGAGCGATACCCTATCCAGGACCGATGCAGTTCAAGATGGTGAAAACAAGGGGGATGGAAAATTGAAGCGAAGAAGCTCGAGATGGTACTTTCGAGAGAGGTGAGGGTGATGAAAAGTGCAAAAACGAGAAAAGAACGGCAACGTCGCCGGCGCCGAAATTGGCTGTCTTGAAGAAGCATCCCAGATCAAAAACAGGGGCGGCCAAACAAACATCTTGGGACGACCGTGTGTCCAAATCGACTAGCAGGGTGGCAATCAACGTGCGTGCATCTTCGCAGCAGGTCCAGAGCTACGATGCTTTAAGACGACGGCGCCAAGAATATTGGCTTGCTATTTTAATGCAATTTGTTGGCTGCAGAGGCCAGGGCCCTTTGTCAGGTCATTTTTTTCCGATAATTGAGTTGGCTAGAGCGCCAGCAAAAGAAAGCAACATATGACCACATTGGGATCACAGGCCGCGTGAATAGTCATCGGAAATTCACGAGGCTAGGAGTACGGAGGAGTGCAACGGCATACAAAGCGTGGATACAAAGACTCTTGCTAATGCGCAAATGGATCATGACAATTATCGGCCAGTCACACTTACACGCAAAGTAAATAACATCCAAGACCTAACGCAATGGTCACTCGCCCGACAAAATATAAAGAAGGGACTGTGTAAGACCCGCTGACGTTTCTCGCTGGTATTTCGGTTCGTAGTATGCAAATCGACTGAAGCCTAATAATATAGAATAGACGCAGAAATGTTCAACAAATCATCCTGACTGGTTCCGTGGTGCAGTTGGTTAGCGCATCGTACTAATATCCTCTCTTCTGAGAATACCATGCGAAAGTCGAGGGTTCGAGCCCCTCCGGGACCATTTCAAACAAATTAATAATTTGCTTGGTCTTCTCCAGTCATTTTTTTTACATTTTTTAATGAAGTTTCTTTTTCTTCTTCCGTTCGTTTTCATCATCTTTTTTTGACAAAACCCTAACACACCGTCCTCTATGTGTTTACTTGACCATTCTTTTATAATCTATGGCAGTTTTTATCTACATAAAGAATGTTTAACACCTGTCGACATTCGTATTTTTCTGAAGCGATAGTCGCGTTAAAACAGGATTTAATCAAATCGTCTTCCATCTCTTTCTCTTATTAATGGTCAACTTGCTAAATTCTTTTCTTCGGCAATACTAGCAGGCGCAGTGTGCCCTACTTGCCTGAAAATTGTACCTTAACGGAGGTCCCATCATGTTTTTGATAACCATATAAGTGTCAAATAATTCTTGTTGAGTATTGCTACACTCTTGAATTCCTTGCTTCCAGTCATCACTTGGCTTGACTATATTTGTAGGTTCCGCCTTTTATTTCAAGGGAGAAATGGGAGAACGAAGATGAAGACAATCCAAGAACAGCACCCTTTGAGAGAGGAGGTGACCACTTATTCCATCTCACCCATCCTCTTCTCGGCGTATTGGTTTACAGCCCTTATCTAGTAAATTGATAACTATAAAAGCACATTCTGATTATTCTTGGGCAAGTATTCACTTAAACTTATGGTATATAATCCAGTCAAAATTATATCATCGTCTCTACCTACAAACTTTTAAATTTTATTGAAAATCTCGAAGATCACACGTGGTAGCGAAGTATAATTTGACATTTCAATGTTGCATAAACTGTCCATTAACCAGTCATGAACAGTTTTACTAAACAATTCTGGCAGTAGACGTGGGAGAGTACACTTCTGTATACTTGATCAAACGTCGTTTTATTGGCGTCCCCCAATGTCCACTCAAACTCATTTACTTCAGTAGAATAAAGATGTATGCATAGAGTTAAAGATTCCATTGCGCCTCAGCGGTACATTGACCCCCTCCCCCCATATATATCAAGAAATGGTATGTAGACTATTTTCACAGAAACCCATTCCGTGCGAGCTGGGGGAAAGAGCGTGTTCTAGTTTATGGTGATTTCTCCCCCGCAGCCTCAAAATACTCTTATATGGATTTAAAACACGATCTGGTGAGCTAGCGTAAATCAGCCACTATTTATTTGAATTGCCTCTCTACAGTGCCGCCAAAGCCTTTGCCATGGAGAGAACTGCTGGCGAGCATTTGCTTTCATAAATTATATGAATATGTCCAGATACCATCATTTTTTTTTTTGACATGTTTTGGAACTGCTGACAGTCCGCGTTATGTGATATTATCTATCGTGATACACCAAATTTCAATAAGGGCTCTGACCATGAGACAGGTAAGAA